TTTAGGTGGGCTTAGCTCTCTTAAGTAATGAATCAATGAATTGCTTAACACGTTACTGTAAACAATGTGGCTTATAAAATAATAAAAGTTAATTTCGCACGTTATTTGTTTAAAAGTTACGTGTTCTATATTCTCTCGGGAGTACATGAATCCTCGAACAGACTTTTTGTTCTCGTATTCGTGGCAACCTATTAAAAGCCACGAATGGTCTAATGATAGATGCCGTTTCCGTTAAAAGCTTAGAAGATAAAGCTATATAGATATAAATATATATTTATATATTAGATATATAAAGCTTAGAAGATCCTTTCCAATATCACACAAAACATCTTTAGTTTCGCATGAAAATGTATTTTTTGAAATACTTTTGATAACTCATTTAAAAGATTTGGATAACAATTTTCATTTTATCTCATTGAAATGTGTATATTATTTGCCGTATCATACCGTAGGTGTGAATGGCAGAGTTGTTTGCTGCACGAAGTTCATATTCTATATGCTTTTGGTTCTTACAAACGAATGATTTAGGGAGGCAGCATATGTCGGATCCAGTGTCAATCAAAAATTTTGTATTAGTTGTACGGTCGACGATTTGTAGGCGGCGCCCTCCAGCTTGGCAGTCAGCTGACGCCATCACTGGCTGCCTTTGGAGTTTGTCGGAGAAGTGAAATTGCATGGTGGAATGCACTTCTCAGCTTGATAGCCAAAACGCTTGTGGTACCAGCATAGATTGGTTTGCTCTGTAGTGTCAGAGGAGCTACCTGCGTGATAACGACTACTAGACAAACTCCTCTGACGTGACCTAGGTCGCCTGTCACGTAGGGAATCAACATCTTTACGCATATTTTTCATTTGCAACTCCAAAGCAGATAATTTTGATAAAACTTCAGTTAATTTTGGGTCATCAGAAAAGAAGATTTAGGATTTGGTGAATTAACGGCATTCAAAGATGTAGGCATACTAGTGAGAGAATGGCAAAAAGATGCGTTAGGTTGGACTGCTAGAATTTTGTCGGCAGTAATTG